GTCAAGTTCATCAAATTATATCACATTACTCTTTTTTCCCTCTTCTTTCTACTTTTAGTTGAGCTCTGATCATCCAGTCATTAAAGCCAGGTCAAGTAGGTATTATCTGCAAGTGTGGGTGTTCTTGTGCATATGCCCTCTCTTCTTTCTCAGCTGGGTGCTTCACTCTCCACTCTAGCCTTCTGTGGCTATGTCACTGTCTCTGGGCCCAAGAGTCCCCAGGTCTTGCCACACTGCTGGCCAACCCGGTCTCCAGTTGGGTTCACAGGAGTCTGTTGAACTTTGTAGGGCTTAGGTCACAGCTTCATTGCTGTTTTTCCTTCACTTCCCATTATTGGTGACGAACGTGGTCACCAATCAGAGCGTGCATTCCCATTGAATGCTTGGAAGCAGGGTAGTGAATTTTTATGAAAGCAAATTTCCACATTTCTTTCGCTGGGAATTTGGTGGGCTCCAACTACCAACCTTCCAGTTAGAAGCCCATAGCTTAACCATTGTGCTACCAGACCTCCTTTACCCAATGCACCAAAAGCAACAAAAAAATTGCCATAAATGGATTCCACACAATACACAGTAGCTCTCAATTGCTGGCATTTCCAATTTGTATGCAACCCTTTGCTTTTCTCTCATTCTGTGCATAGAGGCTTTCCATCGGGAACTGAGAACTAATGGCATGGATCCAGGTTTTGTGGGACTGAAGCTTAATACAGTACACTGGAGGTCTGGGCTGCTCTTTGATTGCAAGCTGGTTTTCTCTCCTCACCTTAAGCACTTCCAGCAACATCCTCAACTCGCAGGGGCCGGTTCAAGTGAGAGGCTCTGAAGCCTAAGATTTGATAGCTTCATGTAAGCTTGTTACTGTGTAGTCTGAGTGAACTGCCAAGGCTGGGTAACGTGTCATCTATCCCTTTGTTCCCTACCTACAGCTCAGAGCCTAGCACCAGGCAGATACTTGTAATGTGTTGGGGAATGAAAGGTTCCTCAGTCTCATCTAAAAACAAGAGGGGCTTAAAGAACGACACGACAGAACAGAATGGAATAGGAAAGGTGGTGGGGCTGGGAGTGGATTCCTCCACTTTGCTGGAGAGGATGTTTTGACAGAGCTGATGTTGTCAGTGTGGCGCTGTGGGCTAATGCGTCAGACTGCAAAGCCATTTGAACTGCAAGGTCGGTGGTTCAAGCTCACCAGCTGCTCCTCGGAAACGCTATACAGGGTCGCTATGGGTCAGAACCGACTCGACGGCACTTCACAACAACAGGGCCTGTTGTAGCACTATAGGATAAGCCTTGGCCTCAAGGTCGGTTTAAGCCACAAGGTCGGCTTAAGCCACAAGGTCGGCAGTTCAAACTCACCAGCCGCTCCTTGGAAACCCTATACAAGGTCGCTATGAGTAGGAACAACAAGGGCCTGGTGTGGCCCTGTAGGATAAGCATAGGATTGAATGCAAGATCGGTTTGTAGTGCAAGATGGGCGGTTCAAACACACCAACCGCTGTTCGGAAACCCTATACACGGTCTCTCTGAGTCGGAACAGACTCTAAAACACTTAACAAGGGCCACGTCCCAACGGTGACTTTCGCCCCTACCCGCCCGCAAACACGAAAGGAAGTAGATTAGCCTGCGACCACACCTCCCGAACCCGGCAAAAAGGTTGGTGGCACCACCGGAAGTTTCTTTTGTGATAAAGAAAAACGGCGGAAGTAAGCCAACAGCGTTTCCTCACTGCTGTGCTTCGAGCCGGCACTTCTTTTCTTTTGAAAAGGGAGGCGCTCCACGTTTCTCTGCAGCAAGGCCAAGACGCTGCGGCGCTTTCTGTGCGCAGGCTCAATTGTCCAGTTCCGCCTTCCAACCATTGGATCCCTTGTCCAGGTTTTCGGAGCCTAGACGTGACGCACGTTTCTGACGTATATGGGGGCGGTACTTCAGGAGGAAAAGCGTCTTGCCGGGTTCTCGCGAGAACCTTGCCTTCCTTCGCAATTCTCGCGCTGCGGCTTGCTCTCTTCGCAACGAGATCCTTCGAGATCTTCTCCGCCCCCGCTACCGGCGCCCCAGCTGCGGCCGCTGAGCCGGAGCCGGCCTTAGCAGCGTTCTCGCCAGCGGCCACTCTTTCAAAAAGCTAGGTGCTCGCGGGGAAACCCGCACGCTGCCATTAGTTCAGGTCCCCTGGTCCACGCGGCCCGATCTCCGCGCGCCAGCCCCACCGGGGTCCGTGTCCTGTCTCGCCGGACGGACCCGGGCCCGAGCCCGAGCAATAGCCGGCGCCATGTCGGTGGTGGGAATAGACCTGGGTTTCCAGAGCTGTTATGTCGCTGTGGCCCGCGCAGGCGGCATCGAGACGATCGCTAATGAATATAGCGACCGCTGCACGCCGTGAGTGTGGGCCGGGCTGACCGCGTGCACGGGTGGGAGGGCTGGTGTTGGCTCTCGACCGAGACCCTTGCGGCATGGGGAACGTAGGCCAGGGAGTCACCTCCGCCGGAGGGTCCCGTGGGTAAGGAGCCCCCACAGTGTGCCCAGTCCCTACTGGCCACGCCGTACCGCGGATATGGGTCTGCGCCAGTGGTCGCCCTCGTGGGTTTAGCGAGGAGTTGCAGTTAGGACTCGAACCCGCGGACGCCATAGACTGGAGGGAAGGAGGCTTGGGTGTAGGATGGACCAAAACTCTTTCTAGAGAGTCTTAACCCAGGCCCAGGTAGTATTGGCGTTTCTTGAGCCTAACAGATTAGAAGGTCTGCACACAACTGGCATTTAATAAGTTAGTTAAATTGAACGGGTTCTGGTGGCTACCGGCCGCGAGACCGAAGAGGGCCTGAGTTCCACGTGAGTGGGGGCGGGGCGGCGCCCGGAAGAGGGCGAGCGGGAGCTTCGGAGACTCGGGCTCCGGGTGGATCTCGGAAATCAGAAAGAGTTTTAATAAATCGATGCTTTTTTTTTTTTTTTTTAAATGTTGTGAATTGTGTGATAGTTTTCATGAAAGAACATTAACTTTACATTCATCGTATCGTATATCGTTTCATTGCCATGGTTACAGTTCCCTCCATGCATACATAATGGATGCTTTCTTGACCCCTTTGCATTCTCTTGGTTTTCTACATAGTTTCAATTGGGTGGGTAGATCTCTGCGCATCCACTTCTTAATAGCTTTCCACTTTACGGTAATACATTCCAACCAGGGTGTTGTCCGCAATTGTTAATGAATGACTCAGGGCACACTTTGTCTTTTATAACCTTCACTAAGTTACGGGACCAGTATAGATTAAGGTCTAAATAAAATTCGTGACTCACTCAGATCCTACCTTGGTTAGAATAAAAGTACCTTTTGAATACATATATATAGCGATAACTTTCAATCCATTGCCTGCTTTCTGGGCCAAATTTTTTTCAGAAGCTCAATATTTTTTGTCAAGTACCCATATTATTCGAGATCTTCTGCCAGGGTAAGTCAAAACGTATTGCTAGTAGGATTCCAGTTCATACATGGATGGATGGCTGCTGACAAATTCTGAGTAATACACTTGTCTTAATTGATTTAGTTAGGGTACCTTTGAATAAAAAAAAAGTCCCCATCAAAACAGTGACTTTTAGGAGATCAGCCTGGTCAGTTAAATAAAAGGCAGAGCTGTCAGCTCAGAAGCTTATGGTAACTGTTTTTGGGATCCCAAAGGGGTAGTCTTTTGTAGATGATCACAGGGGCATATTTTAAAGTTTTAAGAAAGTTGAAAATGCATGGGTTAGAAAAAGGCTAGGAAAATTGTGCTGGAGAATTTTCGAGGGTAGAGCAAGGTCTGTCATTGAGAATTTCATTGGGAAACCTTACCCCATTGGGCCATCCTATAATCCAAAAAATATTCCTCCTTAAAAAGTCTTCTTGTTTCTTAAACTCCATATATAAGGCACTAGATTTGAGTCTCTGGAGTCTTGTTGTGACGCTGCATGCTATACCTTAAGCTCAGTTTGAACCCACCAGCTGTTTTTTTTTTTTTAATTGTGAATTATGTGATAGTTTACATGGGAGAACATTAGCTTTACATTCATCCTGTTGTATATAGTTTCATTGCCATGGTTACAGTCCCCTCCATGCATCATCAACCAACCAAAGGGTATCTCCCGCCTCCCCCTCCCCCAGCCTGTCCCCCTGGTCATCAGCACACAGCCCCTCTCCCTCTCTGAGTCTAAAGTCCCCAGCTGTTTCATCTCTCTATGTCATCATCTACCTCTTTCTGGCGTCACTGTTTCTCTGGGTAGGGTCCTGCTTTCCACTCTTCTCCCTGGATGGGCCCAGAGACCTCCGCTCCTAGACTGCTAAGTCAATCATGCCCCTCCTTTTGCTACAAAACGTCAACCTTTACAGTTCCAACCCTCACAGTTCTGATAACAATTATTCACTATTGTATCACAAGAGACCTATCCGCATCTCCTTTCATCAACCCCACCCTGACGGATTGGATACTACTCAGTGGAGATTCTACCTTCTTCCATGCCCTCTGGACCTAGGCTCCCTCTTGAAAGCTTGTAAGCCAGTCACTTCTTGCCTTTGTAGCCCCCCCATTTTGTGTAGCCATTGTCCAAGTTGCCCATCCCTGTCTACTCTGTGTATGGAGGGGGTGGGAATGATCCTTGCTGTAAAGTTTTCCCTCTTTTGAGCTACTGCATCCATAGGTGTAGGTCAAGTTCATCAAATTTTATCAGTTTAGTGTTTATTTTGTCTTCTTTCTTCTTCTAGTTGAGCTTATTGAGCTATGCAGTCATTGAAGCCAGGTCAAATGGGTATTATCTGCAAGTGTGGGTGTTCTTATGCATTTGCCTTCTTTTTATCAGCTGGACGCTTCACTCTCCACTCTAGTCCTCTGTGGCTATGTCACTGACTCTGGGCCCAAGAGTCCCTAGGTCTTGCCACACTGCTGGCCAATCAGGTCTCCACCTGGGTTCACAGGAGTCTATTGAACGTTGTAGGGCTTAGCTCGCAGCTTCATTTCTGTTTTTCTTTCACTTCGCCTTATCGGTGATGAATGTGGTAACCAATCAGAGCGTGTCTTAGTCTTAGAAGGGGCCACCAGCTGCTTTTTGGAAACCCTTTACTGGGTTGGTATGGGTCGGAACTGACTTGATGACATTTAACATCAAGAAGGATGCTTAAGTGATCTTCTGATATTGTAAATTGAAGACCACAGAATTCTTAGAAGAGTTAACTGCCTTCATTTGCAACTCAGTGAGCATAGGTTTCCAAGGAGTGGGTGGTGAGTTTGATCCACCAACCTTATGGTTGGCAGTCCAGAGCTTATTTTCTATATTGCCACCTCAGGAAGGGTTGTTGCTAAATGTTGTTAAGTCGATTTGATGCATAGCGACCCTGTATAGGGTTTCCAAGAAGCAGCTGGTGAGCTTGAACCACTGACTGCAGTTCAAACGATTTTGCATTCTGACGCATTAGCCCACAGAAGGGTTAGAGAGATGGAAACTTGGGTTTCAGAAGTTTATAACTTAGATAGAAGATATATCTAGAAACAGTAGCTTCACATTTTGATACTTTTGTTTAATGAAGGTTTCTGTGACTTAACATTTGTATTCCAAGGCCTATAGGTTTTTTTTACTCATTTTTAGCCCTGCTTAGTGGTTACAAATCGGGCTGTGAACTGCAAGATCAGCAGTTCAAAACTACCGGCTGTAACGCGGGAGAAAGATGAGGCTTTCTGCTTCCATAAAGATTTATAGCCTCGGAAAACCTGTACAGGGTCGCTATGAGTTGGAACCGACTCCACAGGACATAGCAACAACAACTATCCTGGGTTGGGCCAGGGTAAGGATAGGGCAGTGTTTTGTTCTGCTGTACACGACTCAGTGGCATCTCAGTGGCACCTAACAACAACAACTAGCCTGTTCTTTACAACCCAGAAGGCTTAAAACTTGATCCTTTCACTTGACATGTTTCTGCCTCTCTTTAGAACTAAGCAAAGGGCTTTATTTGACAATTTATCCTAGACCCCAGTACTAGTTTGACATTCCAGATTTATAATAGCTTTGTTGAGATATGTTGTTAAGTGCTGTGGAGTTGGTTCCGACCCACAGTGACACCCTGCACAGGGTTTCTGAGGCTGTAAATCTACGGGAGCAGAAAGCCTCATCTTTCTCCTGTGGAACTGCTGGTAGTTTCGATTTAAGTATGTAATTCAGTGGTTTTTAGTGTATTCACAAAATTGTGCAGCCATCACTATAATCAAAACAATATTCTTGTTGCCTGGAGAAGAAAATCCATGTCCAGTAGTTACTCCTCAAAGGGGGGGGGGCATTGTTTATAGATTTGAACATGAATATTCTAATTTGTATAGCCACAGAAGTCTTTATTGAAGGCATTCTAGCAAGGCAAGGAGTAAAATACATTTTTTCCTTTAATGGATTATAGCTAGATAGAGAAGGCATCTCTGTTGCGGGAAGAAGGGGAGAGGATTCTTTCTTTGAAATAACCAGTTTTTGAGTAAATGCTTTCTCTACTAGGCTCTTTTAGAGTATAAAAATGACTAATTCTGGGCTTAAGTTCCTGAAAACAAATTGTACTTAATTTAAGCATGCTTAACACCAGACTAACTTCTAATAATAGTGCAGTTGTTCTTTGGAATGGTCTTTACAAGCTCAAGAATAATAATACTAGATTTACTGTTAGGTACAAATCTACAGAATAAAGCTTATTAGCTGTGCAGATTCCTTGGTTACTTTCGTTAGAACTTTCTTGAAATAGATAGCTAAGTAATGCAGCTTCATAAGCATCATAGTATTGCCTCCCAAATTTGATTTGTTTTTATAGTATAATTGAGAATTTAATCTCATTTTCAAGTAAAATACATTAAGCATATCAAGAATAATTCTGTAAGTCAATTCATTCATGGTTAAACTTTCTTAAAAGTACCTCTTGTTTTATCTACATCAGTTGAAAAGTTATTAAGGTGAGTTATCAAATCAGATTTCTTTGTGCCTCAAAAAAAAGTTTTAGGAAGGAAAATGGTCTTTTGTATTTCTCACTTATAAATTAGGATAAAAGAAAGTCATTTGGTTGCTTTTTCCAAAGAAGAAAGAAACTATAGGAAATGAAGGAAGGAAATACAGGAAGAAAGGATGAATATAATTGGAATTTCTAAGTAATGTTTGGAAGGCTTCCATGATGGTTACTTAATGAATTTTGTATGTGTAGTAGAATCCAAGCAAATTTGCAGACTTGAGCAACCTTAAAACCATGCCTGAAATTGAATTGTCAAATTGTCAAAATATTGTAGCTTGGTTTCCTAAGCCTTATATGAAAGAGGAAGAATGAAAAATAAACCTCAGATAAATAATTAGATGCCGAAAGCCAGAACTAATGATTTATTGAAATGTTGAGC